GGCAAAGGGGTCCGGGGGGCCTTCATAATGCACCGCAGAGCTTTCAGCCAGAACCCAGCATCCCAGGGCATTCCAGGTGGGGCCTGCAGCTGCTCCTGTCCTGCTCTGCCCTGTGCCCCGCTCCCTAACCCCGCACCCCATCCGACAGCAGAACTGGGTGAAGGTCTCAACCTCTGTCCTGCCCGCAGATCCCTGAGCAAGCTCTGCCCATCTCGGTGTTTTTACGTTTTTTTGTTTTTTTGTTTTTTAACTGCTTGTCACTACAGGGGGCAAAAGCACCAAAGCCGGGGAAAGTCACAAGGTCACGAGACATCTCAAAAGCCTCACAATACAAGTTATACCAATACAGGCTCACCAGGTTGTAAATGGAGCCCCGCCGGCTCTCGGTTAGCAGCCTGCCTCTCAGACACAGTGCTTTTCTCAGCTTGACAGGGAACGAGCCTCACCCGAGCCCATTTTTTCCCCTGCCCTCTCGGGCTCCCTCCCCCAGGTTTCCCTAAAGGGCCAAGCTTGTGTCATTTTCCCAGCAACCTCAGTGCCCAGCGCAGGACCTGGCACAGAGTAAATGTAGGTTAAACTAGCAGAGCTGGCTGGTGTTCAAAGTGATATGTCCTCGGGTGCTCAGATGAGATGCTCTGGGGCCTCTGAACACACTCCAGCCTCGGTGTTACCTCTTCCCCATCCCTGGGAGGCCCTCAGGGTCTGGCCGGGCCCAGTGGGCAGGTTCTCTGCGTGATTCGTCTGTCCCCAAGGCTCCGTGGCCCAGCTCAGTGCTGATTCAGCCCACAGGCTCATTTCCCCCTGGACTGCTGCTCTTGTAGTGAACAAAGTTTTATGCTCCCTGCTCTTAATTTTAAACATTAATGAGTGTGACATGTTACATTTTTCGCTCTGGGCGGGGAGGGGGAACTAAATTACTTCTCACTTGTATGTGGCCCTCAAATGATTCTTGTCGCAGGAGGAAAAAAATCTTCTGCTCCAGAAATTTAGGAACCCTAGATATGCACGTCCCGCAGGGCTTAGTTCAGTATCAGAAGTTTAACCAGGCAGAGCGGGTCGAGGTAATGTTGCCAAGTGCCAAACAGTAAAGGGTCAGGAGGGCCCAGAGAACTGGCAGAGGGAAGTAGAAGAGGGGACAGGGAATGGGAAAGGGACCCACGAGTATTGAGCACTAATAACGTGCTAGTCACTTAACATATATTATTTCAGTTAACTGACTCCTCACTCCCACCTGGAGAAGTAGGCACCATCATGCCCATTTTGCAGATTAGGAAAGTGAGGCTGGAAGAAGTAAATTAACTTGCCCTCAGGCTTGTGGCTGTGCTGGGACTTGGAGCTCTTGCCTGCCTGGTTTCAAAGCTCATGGGCTCCTTCCTTGGCACAGTGCTGGGTTGTCAGAAAGCCAGGTGCCGGGTGAGAGCTTGCAAAGGGACTGAAATGCAGCCAGGCCAGGAAAGTGAGCCAAGCACTGGCTGGGAACAGCCAGGTCTTGCTTAGCACCATGGGGACTTGGTGGAGGCGGGGTCCCCATCCCCTTTGGAAGAGCCTAGGCCCTGGGGTGCCTGGGTGGTTCCATCAGTTGAGTGTCCAACTCTTGATTTCAGCTCAGGTCATGATGCCAGGGTCATGGGATCAACCCCCACGTCAGGCTCCACACTGAGTGTGAAGCCTGCTTGCAATTCTCTCCCCCTGCCCAGCCCCTTTCTCTGGCTTGCACTCTCTCCTTCTCTCTCTAAAATAAAAAAAGAATAAAAATAGTGAAGGAGCCTAGGCCCTCTCTGCCTGGTTGGGATAGGCTTTCATACTCCATCCTCATGATCGCGGGTGTTATAGAGAAGCTGGGGGTGAGGGAAGAGGTCTAGTGGCCCAAGCGCCCATAGGCCTCTTTGTCCCCATGTCTGCAGAGACCAGCCTGGACACCAAGTCTGTGTCAGAAGGCCACCTTAAAAGGAACATTGTTGTGAAGACCGTGGAGATGCGGGATGGTGAGGTAAGGAGGGCAGACCTGAGATCCTGGCCCCTCAGGCTCCGGCTGCCTCCAGGAATTTTTGAAGCCAGGCTTTCGAAAAAAGCCTGAACTGGCACATAGAAGGTTCTCAGTCACTCGGAAGAGCTTCCCAGGGAGGCTCTGAAAGAGGGGAGGGAACCTGGATGTAATTCAATTCTCTGTGCTCTCCACTGGCAGTTCTAGGGGGCCTGGGTGCCTAGGCCACTGACGGAGTCCTGATTCGGACTTGCCCCGTCTCACCGTCAGACGGAATTAGTGATGGAACTTAGGGCAGATGCCCCCCAGCACCAGGCCTGGGGGAGAAAGAAAATTCAAGTTAGCAGCTTTCACTTCCATCTTTCAGTTTCCAGCTTGATAAAAGGCACCTGCCGAAGGAATGGGAGGAGGGGATTTGGCATAACCCCCTCCCTATCACACCAGCAACAGTGCTGGCTAATCTCACCACACCAGCTTGCCATGTGCCAGGCGCGGTGCTAAGTGCTTACAGGCACTACCTCATTTCCTGACAGCTGCATGGGGGGAATTCTGGTCTCTATCATAGAAAAGAAAGTCCTAGGAAAGCTGGGGACTTGTCTAAGGTCACATAGCCTGGCAGTGGCGGACCTGATGTCTGGATGGGCCCCTAACTATTGTGCTGTGCGCTCCTCTGTCCCCTGCAGGTCATCAAGGAGTCCAAGCAAGAGCACAAGGACGTGATGTGAGGCAGGACCCCCCGGGGACCCCTGCCCCCCGGTGTGAGAGGCTTGAGCAGGAGATGGGATTGGTGCCCCCGCCTCTGATAGCTGGTTTCCCCAGACCCGAGTTCCCACCCACCCCAGCTGCTCCCCTCATCCCTCCCTGCATCTCTATGCCACCTTGCTGCCCTAAGTTCCGTCAGTACTTGGCCTGCACCCGGCCCCCCGCACCCAGTAACTAACAAGGCACTCACCCCAAAGGGTGAGAGGCATGGGTTAGAACCAGAAGGAAGAAGCTGGGGAAGGTAGGGGCCCCAATAAAACACCCTGGATAGCCCTCCTCCCCATTGTCATGGCAACCATTGCCAGAGCCGGAGGTCCCTGGGGGTATCTGGGAAGTGGGCCTTTGAGTGAGTGTCCTCAGGCTGCTGGAGGAAAACTGAGACTCTGGGACAGGAAAGGGAAACCCCCCCCAAGGCAAGGTAGCCCTGGCCAGAGGTTTCTTCTAGACTGACCCTGAGCTGTCTGAGAGTGGGTGGGGCCACCCTGCTAGCTGGCGTGGTAGTCACCAAACAGAATGCCTGGCCTGCCCAGATCCCAGGCCCAGAAGGGCCTCCTGAGTGACGATTCAAGTGTCTCAGTCCCACCGAACGGCCATGTGGGCACACCGTGGGCATGCCGTGGGCATGTGGGAGCTTGATTCTCAGGACTTGGGGGATCTGTAGTGTAAGTGGAGAGGGAAGGGGTGCTGAGAAGGAGTAGAGGGGACTGCCTGGCCTCTAGGTGGGGTACAGAGAGGTCAAGCCCAGGAGTCCTCCCTCCGTAATGCTGGAGGGGAGGCAGGTGGAGATGGTGGAGGCTGTTGGGATGATGCCAGACATCAGAGATGGGGGTTGTGGGTGACCAGTTACACTTGGCCTCTGGGTTGTGGGAATCAAGGAAGTGACTCATCCTCTTGAAAATGCTGAAATGAGAGAGAGAGAGAGAGGGGCTGCTGGCCCCGGGGGCAGGGCACACCTTGTCCCAGTTCTAAAGGCTCCTTCTTTGCTGCCTCTGAGCCTCTGCTGCTGCTGCTGACTCCCAACCCCAGCGAACGCTGCTGAGTGACGCTGCCGCCACATATCTGACACTGTCCACCCTCTGGTGATCTGCTGCTTTCCCCTGACCCAAGGGCCCTTTACTCAAATACAAAATGTATCCCCATATGGTAGGTAGCACCCTATTTTATAATTTGGAAAATGGGAGGCATGAGCAGGGTGAAGGCTCTGGTTTGTGTTCCTGCAGTCTGGAGGTGGGGCCCCTCGGGGCAGACATTTCCACCCAGAGCACCTGGACTGCTCCGTGGGAAGATTGGGGATGGGGTGGGTGGACGCAGGAGTCTCTGTGTCCAGAAGTAGGGCTGAGAGGGCCCACTCACCTCCCCCCCAACTAAGGCCAGAGAAGTGAGAGTCCCTCCCTTTTTCTAAGAAAAAGGTGCCCTTTCCTCCTCCCTCCTGCCACCCATCATTGCTAACTTTCAGGGCACCATGCAGCCTTTAGCCACTGAAGTAAATAAAGACAGTTGCTGTGACCTTTCCTGGAGTGGAACTCTGATCTGTTCAGGAGAGGCTGGGGCTGGGAGAGGGGGCAGGAAGTAGCCTTGGACAAGATTCAACTTGTTTCTTATCACTGCTCATCTGGAGACCCCAAACCCCACAGCAGCAACCACATGATGAATCCCACCTCCAATCCTGCTCCACGTGGCAGCCCTGGTACCCACCTCCCTCCCCTTCTCACCCAGTCCCCAGTCCTGGGAACAGCCCTGACTTTGACCTCCACTTTCCTCACCCGTTTTTCCCTGTTCTAGTTTTTACCTTTATTCCCAAACTTGACCTTTTTACCTGCCAGTCGGGGGTCAAGGTTGAGGAGGAAGGGAAAGAGAACAGGCACTAGGCTCCCCCACTCCCTCTTCCCTGCTGCCCCCAATCCAACCAGCATCCAGTTGGCAATCCTCGAAAGGCAAGAAAAGAAAGCACCTCAAACACCGTGCCGATATCAAAAAGGCCGTTTGATAAATATTAGGTTCACTTCTTCCTTCTCTGAGAGTGAAGTCAGAAGAAGTGCCTTCTGGCTACTTCTTACCGGCCTCAGTCCCCCTCAGTCTCCCTCAGTCCCCGTCTCCTACCTGCCTCAGGCTTCCCCACTTGCCAAGGAGCAGGCTGCAACTAACAGATTTGTGTCCACCCCCGCCCGCACCCCGCTGCCACACGTCCCAGCCCAGGGTGCCCACCCGGAGGCATCCGGTATCATTTAACAGACACATCTGAGCACAACCGGTCTTCAGATCTGGGGAAGGGGGAGGCCTAGGGGGACAAGTAGGGACAACAGCGAAATAAGTATCGGCAGCAACGACAGAGGTGAATGGTGACAAAGACTGCCGTGATGAGCAGGTAGCCTATCAGGGTGAGTTCCACAGCCGAGCGAGTCTCAGGGTCCGAGAATGAGGGCCGGTAGCGGCCTCGAGAGGTGACACTCAGCCGGAACCCAGCGACCCGCACCCCCTGCCGCCAGCAGTAGTAGATGCCCCGGTCACTGAGCTGGGTGAAGCGGATGTGCAGGTGGTTGCCATGGTCGATGAACACCCTCATGGACCTGTTGACGCCCTTCAGGTACTGTGTTCGGTAGAGGTACTGGCGGTCCTTGTCCCAGGCCACGGCGTGCTCCGGCCGGGCCCCAGGACAGGAGATAACGAGGCTGTGGCCCAGCCTCTGCTGGTGGAACTGAATGGGTACCTGAGGCACCCAGGGCCGGCTGCCCACTTTGGACACGTAGCTGAAGATGGCCATCACGCCCTGCCGGGACGCTGTCGTCTTCTTGCAGGGCACCACGCAGCTCTGAACCAGTAGCTCGGGCGTGTGCTCCATGGCCGTGGCCCGAAGCTTCTGCGGCACGGCCTGCGACCCACAGGACACCACATCGGGCAGTGTCTTCTGGTAGCGTGGAGAGAGATCCGGGCTCTGCAAGTAGCAGAGGCCAATGCGCCACCGCTCCCCACGGACGCCACAGCGGTCGCAGGGGGTCCACTCCCAGAAGGTGGTGAAGATGTGGAGGCTCCCGAGGTGCTCGTCTGCAAAGGGCTCCTGGCCCAGGTCCTTGAAGGTGGCCACCATCCCCTCGCTGCTCTGGATGTCCACATCGTAGGCGTAGAAGTAGTCCCCCTTGCGGGTGCCGCAGAAGTACAAGCCCGAGTCCTCGGGCTGGGCCCGGAAAACCAGCAGGCTGAACATGCGGATGCTGAAGCGCACCAGCATGTCGCTGCCCACGCGCACCTGCGCTTCCTCGGTCAGCACCCGCCCGTCGAAGTCCGTCAGCACCCTGGTGTGGCTGCTCCCTAGGCGCTTCTGATAGTACCAGACGACAGCGGACACCTCCTCAGGCTTGCAGCCGCAGGGCAGCTCAAAGCTCATGTCCGCCAGGTAGGCCGCGTTGTCAAACAGCAGAAAAGCGGGGCAGGGGGTCCTGTGAAAGATGTCCTCCTTCTCCACAATTTCAAAGGCCCGGAGGCTCCCCCACACCCACAGGAGCACCGTGGCGTGGGCCAGGTTCATGCCTGCGGGACGCAACGGTCAGAGGGGGCAGGGCAAGACCGAGGCGCTACCCGTCTGGGTTTCTAGAAATCGCCGCCAGGAGGAGAAAGGATTAGGCAGCCAGGAAGAGGAGCAAGAGTCTACAGAGAGAGTGGCCAAAGGCAAGGCGATTTATTCCTAGTTCATGGACAGGATGCCCTTCTCATGTTCCAGACTGGATCTTGAAGGGAAACGATTCTAGAACCTGGCCCTCTCCCCTTTCTAGAACACTGGCACTCGCTCAAGAATGGGTCAGGGGAAACCGGAACGAGAGGCAGGGGCCCAAGTGCTAGAAGAGGAAAATCTCTGCCTTCCTGCTTCAGGCCCTGCCTGCCTGCTTGGTGGAAAGGTTTTCTCTTTGGTTAATCCAGGAGTTGAGGAAAAGCCACCCGCCTGCACATCTGGCCATTTGAAGCCTGGGAGGCTGGCCAGACCTAAGCTGGTTGCCTGCGGCTTTCCCAGGCCCAGCCTGTACAGGAATTCAGCTCCTGAGGAAAATACCTCACCTCAAAGGAGGTAGCCTCTGATTATTTGTCTATTAAATGTCCATTCATTTGTTTGGGGTATTCTTGTTAAGAGGTATGGACATCAGTATTTGTCTACCATGGAAGATTAAGGATTTTGGTTTTGTTTTTTTTTTTAAACTTTTTTAATGTTTTTAATTTATTTTTGAGAGAGAGAGTGAGAGAGAGAAATTACGAGTGGGGAAGGGACAGAGAGGGAGGGAGACGCAGAATCCGAAGCAGGCTTCTGAGCCGTCAGCACAGAGCCCAAAATGGGGAGCGAACTCAAGAACAGTGAGATCATGACCTGAGCCGAAGTTGGCTGCTTAACCAACTGAGCCACAAAGGCTCCCCTCCCCCCTCCTCTTATTTTGAGTGGAGGCTTTAACTGGTATAGCCAGCATTCAGTTGGGTGCACACTCATCTCTCCCCGCCATGGGCTAGAGGTCTGGCTGACTCTAAGGGTGGGAAGCCAAACTCATTCAAGTTCTTAGGCCCTTGACCACTCTGCTGATCTACGTAGTTCAGAATACCAAGCCACCAAGAGGCTGGAGAAGTTGGGAAGGTTCGATTCCTTTATTTGCTCTGAAAATCCCAAGCTGAGAAGGAAATTGGGCGTGGGCTTCTCCTCGCAGTCCTGCGGGGTGCCCCCCCCCCGGGACAACAAGCAAAAGAAGCCTCCAGGGACCATTGGGGGCCTCAGCGGGTCACTGACCCTGTCAATCCACCCGGTACACTGCTAGCAACTCTTGCAAGAGCCTTTCCTCCTCCTGGAACCCACCAGGCCGCTCTTCCTCCTGGCCGGGCCCCTCCTCTGTGGGCCTGAGAGGACCCGTGGCCTGCAGCTTCTGAAACAGGCCTCTGCAGCCCTCTCTCTCCGCCTGGCTCAGCAGGCTCAGGTTCAGGGCGAAGCGCCCGGTGCTGGCCAGGCTGTGTAGGATCCCCAGCACCGCTGACCGGTCGGCCGGCCTCACGTGTTCGGCCAGTGCCACCAGCAGCTCCCCTAGAAGCCCAAACCCCACGTCCGTCCGGAAGAGGTGACCCAACTTTGGGCCTCCAAGCCGCAGCAGGGTCTGGTAGCGCGCTGGTCCGCTGTGCAGGTGCCGCCGCCAGGCGCGGTAGAACTCTGCCGAGGTCTCAGGCTGGAGGAGCGTTTGCTCCTGGATCACAAGGAAGCAAAGGAAGCCCAGAGCTCTTCCGGCTGCTCTGCGCCAGCGAGACAGTCACAGTGAGGGGAGACCGTGCGATTTCATCTTAGTTCTGGTGTTACCCTCAGCACTGGGTAGGCTGTGGTCCCTGGGGGCCTGGTTTTCAGCTAAGGGAACTGGGAATGGGACACAGAGGGAGGGTCCCAAGGAACCCGGGCCATGATGTGAGAATGTCAGTTGTACCAGGATGTCCCCACATCCTGGTGATGATGAACGTGGACACAGCCCTGCTCTATGAGAGAAAGTCAGGCTTTACTCTGAGCAGGGCAGAAGGGAGGATGGGAAACCAGAGAGAGAGACAGGAATTCAAGGTGAGTGTTAAGAATCTGACAGGCTGGGCCTCTCTCTCAGCAGTGCCACAGGATCGTGATACTACCTACCATACAGCCTGGGAGCAACTCCAATCTGACCTGGGAGTGCAAGTCAAAGGACTAATAGCGGAGGAGACCTAGCCTGGCCCACCTTTCTGACTTGTCCCGCCCAGTTTAACTCACCCTCACCCTCTGCTGGTTGCTTTTCTTTCTGGGATCGGAGAGCAGAAACCTGCCTCTGTTGGCTTAACATGAGAAATAAAGAAGAAGTATGTGTAGTAAGAAGACAGGCTTAGAGGTTTGGGCAGAGAATCCTACTGGGCCAAAGAGGCTGGGTATCACCCACCTGGGAGATTTCAGTGGCCTCGTCTTGGGAGGTCCCTCTCCGAGTAGTGTGACAGTTCCAGGGCACAGTCCTCTCTCCTCCTATCTTGTCCTTCCGCTCCAGTGGCTTCAGATGTGATGCAAGGACAATACCCCTGTGGGCAAAGGACAGAGACTGGAGTACGGACTTAATGCTCTCTCTGAGGTGGCTAGACTCTTTTTTTTTTTTTTTTTAATATTTTTATTTATTTCTAGGAGAGAGAGAGAGAGAGAGACAGTGTGAGCAGGGAAGGGTCAGAGAGAGAGGGAGATACAGACTCTGAAACAGGCTCCAGGCTCTGAGCTGGCAGTCAGCACAGAGCCCGGCGCGGGGCTCGAACCCACGAACCGCGAGATCATGACCTAAGCGAAAGTCGGACGCTTAACCGACTAAGCCACCCAGGCACCCCTTGAGGTGGCTAGACTCTGCATGATGGAGACAGCAAGCCAAAATGACCATAATAACAGCAGCAACAATAGCTGACAACTTTTGAGCACCTCCCATGTGCCAGGCACTGTGCTCAAAATCTTACACATATACATTTATTTAACCGTAACAATAGTTACTCTCTTTCACTGAGGAGGAATGGAAGCTCAGAGAGGTTAAATAACTTGCACGAGATCATACAGGTAGCAGAAGGTAGGGCCAGGACGGAGCCCAGAATTGTCTGACTTCAAAAACACATGCTCTTATCCACTGTTGTCCACATGGTAACAGGAACTGAGAAAAACAGCAGAAAGCCAACCTGAACTCCTCATAGGAAGCCACCTTCTGTTCCACTGCCCGCAACTTGGCAGCGTTCTCCCGTTTGTATTTCTCATCAGCAGCGAGGGCAGCCTGCAGCTCTTTCTCCAAAGCCTTGAAGTCAATGATGTTGTTCCTTTCCATGGTCTGTTTCTAAGAAGGCAGAGGAAATGGACATCGTGGAGGGTCAATATCAGGGAGGAGGCTGCATCTGCATTCTTTGCCAGCCTACGAAATGATCCCAAAGCACTCTGGATATCTTTCCACTTATTTTGTTGGATGCTGTTACAAAAGTCTAGTTCTCAAGGGCCCCTGAGTGGCTGAGTCACTTGAGTGTCTGACTCTTGATTTCGGCTCAAGTCATGATCCCACAGTCATGGGTTTGAGCCCGGAGTCTGGCTCTTCGCTGAGCATGAAGCCTGCTTGGGATTCTCTCTCTCTCTCTCTGGGATTCTCTCTCTCTCTTTCTCTCTGCCCCTCTCCCCCTCGCACATGCACGCTCTCTCTCTCAAAAAAAAATCTGATTCTCTATAGGGGGAGCAGAGTTGCAGTGAGAACTTGCTTAACATTGTCATGGAAAATACAGAGTACTAACTCTCAGTCTGGAGCCCTGTCTTACTTTTGTTCTCTGCCTCTAAAAATATTTTAATTTTGGTGCTTCTGCTGAGGAGGCATTTGGATCTCAGGATTCAGTCCCTTCACTACTCCATATGGGCTCACTCCATAGTGAGGTGCTATGACAGAGGACCTCCCACAGAAGCATAACTATTGTTAACTATACTACTGAGCTCAGGGATAAATTTTCACCCATCATTAAATGTTTTTAATGGTGAACGATACTTTCCACACAAACCAGATGCAATGACTGAGCAGGAAATCAAGCAGAAGTGGCAGAGGAAGGGGCTCTATGATCCCTGTTCCCACATCTCTCCGTCCAGAACAGGGCTGGAGCACAGGTCCCTAGATACTTGAGCAACCTCTTTGGTTCTGCCACTGTACTTCTGCAACCTCTGTTTATGTGAGGATTGATCCGTTCTACAGAGATATCCTCTATATGGGTTCTAGTCCTGGCTCTGGCATTTACTTGCTGAGACCTCTCTTAGCCTCAGACTTCTGCTGCATTGTGCTAGATTTTGTGGCAGAGTCATCACCAACAACCCTAAGGCAGGGTACCAGGAGGACTGGACCAACCCGCTTAGCCCTTCCCCTCCACCCTAGCGTGGGTGAGCTGAACACCTAGAAGGGGTCTGCGCAGGCCAGAAACTGAACTCAGGTGTCCTGGCTCCTGTCCAGTTCTGAACCCTCCTCAATCATGAATAAAGAGAACATCTAACCCTTCCGCTCCCCCGCCCCTACCCACCACCCCAGTAGCTCTGGCCTCGGTTTCTTCGCTTTCTTTGGGAATCCCCAGATACACCAGAACAGCACAGCCCAGCGTGGACCACGCCCAGCAGCTGTAGTTGCCCAGCAACTGCGCCAACAGCCTGGTCACGTGATCAACCCGAAGGCCCCCCCCCTTTCAGGGTGTCTTCGAGGCGCCTGATCAGATTCGTGCCTCCTCAGGCCTCAGTCTCTTTGGAGCAGCCCACGCCTTGGTGTGGGGGCCCACGACTCCACCTCGTCGCTTCCTGGGTCCGCGGCCGGCATTCCTCCCAGCCGGTCCTCAGGCAGAGGGCTGTCCCCGGGGCAGAAACGCGACGGCGGCGTCTGCGGGGTCCTTCCGAACGGCGGGCGCAGCGGTGCGGCGGCGTGGGGCGGAAGCGCGGTGACCCGCGGCCGACTTGAAGCGTTCGGCTGAGCGGGCGGCAGGTGAGCTGGCGCGGGTCAGCGACGGGGCCAAGTTATTCCGGGTGGGGTGAGAAATTAAATAATGTCAGATCTGGAAGGGACGTTGTAGGCTTTCTGCCCCTTTCGTTTTACAGGTGGGTAAACAAGCGTGGAGCAAGAAAGGGAAAGAAAGTCTCCCCCACCCCCACCCCCTCATTCCTCCCGAAGCCCGCACGTCGATTCCGGGCTTCCCTCCCTGTCGACCGTCCATACAATCCCTTCCCTGGGCAGACGTCGTCGTCTTACTGTCCAGTCCCATTTCACTCCCTCTGCTGTCTCTGCCTTCTTCACCTCTTCTCTACCAACATTCTCCGTCCTTGTTCTGTATTCCTTTTGAGAGGCTGCTTTATAGCGGGACGCTGCAGTGAGGTTTGGTCACTAGTTTTGTGCCACTGTGGGCAAGTCAGCCGTCTTCTCTGTACCTTTCAGGAGGCATTCATTCATTCAGCAGATACTTGCCGTGGTCTTGTTTGGTGCCAACACAGTGCTAAGTGTGAAACAAACGGCTTTGCTTAAATTACAGTTGAGGGGATGATAGTGAAAATGACGTGGACAGATATATGTGAAGGAGGGACTAGTGCTAAAAATAATAAAACAGTGAAAGTTGGGGGTTGGAGAGTGTGTGTGGGACTTTTTTTTTTAAACGTTTGTTTATTTTAAGAGAAAGAGAGCGGGGGAGGGGCAGAGAGGGAGAGAGAGCCTAAGCAGGCTACCTGCTGCCAGCACAGAGCCGGATGAGGGGCCCTGATCTCGTAAATTGTGAGATAGTGACTTGAACCGAAATCAAGAGCAGACACTAAACCTACTAAGCTACCCAGGGAGGACTTTTTTAGAGTGACATTGTTAGTATAATATCCTAGGGAAGAGCGTTTCAGAAGAGAGTAAGTGCAGTGACCCTGGAGCAGATATCAGCTTGGTTTGTTGCATTGGCAGCCTTTGATAAAAATGTGTGCGATCATTTCATGGATCTTGGGAGAATGAAATGAGCACAGATGTGATAGCTCTTTGGAAGTAGAAAGAATCTCTATATGAGTATGAAAGTTACTATAATAATTTACATTTAGTTACAAGTTTTAGAGCTAGGCCTGTACTTGATAAATATCACTATCTCAGAATTAAATATTCGAAACATTTATCTACTTCCTACTTATGCTAGGTGCTATCTTGGACATTGCGGCTAGGCATAAGGAATACAGGTTTCTGTATTCAAGAATGGCCAGGGCCGCCTGGGTTGCTGTCAGTTGAGTATCCGACTTAGGCTCAGGTCCTGATCCCATGGTTTGTGGGTTTGAGCGCTGCCTCGGGCTCTGTGCTGACAGCTAGCTCAGAGCCTGGAGACTGCTTCAGATGCTGTGTCTTTCTCTCTCTCTCTCTCGAAAATAAACATTAAAATAAAAAAGAATGGCCAAAATTAAATGCTTGCTAACATTTTTTGAGCCTGGGACTGTGGTACGTTGTTTACACAGACTAGTTTGTTTAAGTCTCATACTTTTTTTTTTTTGAGAGCTTGAGAGAGAGAGAGAGAGAGAGAGAGAGAGAGAATCATTCCCAAGGAGGCTCCACGCTCAGCATGAAGCCCAACACAGGACTTGATTCCACAACCCTGGGATCATGACCTGAGCCAGAATCAAGAGTTAGATGCTCAACTGACTGAGCCACCCAGGCTCCCCTAAGTCTCATACCTTTTTAGGCAGTGGGGATTACTCACTCTATTTTCCAGTTGAAGAAATAGATTTGGAGAAGTGCAGTAGCTTACTTGAAAGTACATAGTTATTAAGTGACAAAGTTAGGATTCAAATCTAGGTCTTTAAGTTCTTTTAACCCTTAACCCACCTCTGGTCAGTTGTTTATTATTTATAAACTGTAGGGTTGTTGGAGAGGTTAATTAGTAGTTAATGACAATTCAAGAATTAGATGCTGATTAATGTATAAAAGGCTAGAGCAATGTAGAGGAGTGAGAAATTGAGAATTTAGAAAAGCTGGAAGGAGGTGACATTTGAATTGTTCCTTTGAATAGAATATCAGCAGTTGAAGTAGAAAAAACCCACAAAATACTTATTGATTACAACGAGAAATCTAGTAACTTTACGTTAGAAAAGCCTGGGGGATATCACCATAATTGAGTGATTTAACATTTAATTAACCACTAATGGGACGAATTAAAATCACATACCACCTGAAAAGAGCTGCACTGAAAGGAACACTGCATAACTACTGAGATATTCCTGCCCAAAATGCAAAACCTGAATCTAGTCCTGAGGAAACATCAGACAAACCCAAAGTAAGGGACATTTTACAAAAATCAGTAGTCTGTAACCTTCAAAAGTATAGAGTCATAAAAGTCAAGGGGAGACTAGAGAGCTGTTCCTGAGTGAAAGAGACTAAGCACATGGCCATTGAGTGCAAACATGGGATCCTGGGTTCGCTTTTTTGCTGTGCAGGACGTTATTAGAACAGTTTGTGGGGGCGCCTGGGGGGCTCAGTCAGGTTAAGCATCCTACTGTTGGTTTCGGCTCACGTCATGATCTCGCGGTTTGTGGGTTTGAGCCCTGCATGGGCTCTACACTGGCAATGCAGAGCCTGCTTGGAATTCTCACTCTCCCTCTCTTTCTGCCCCTCCCCTGCTTGTGATCGCTCTAAATAAATAAATAAGCAAACAAACTTAAAAAAAACAATTTGTGAAGGTTGAATGGAAGTCTTTGGATTAGGTGGTAGCAATGTGTCACTATTAATTTTCTGATTTTGATTGTTGTATTTTGGTTACAGAGGAAAATGTCCTTGTTTGTAGGAATCACACACTAAGGCAAAGGTTGGAAAACTTTTTCTATCAAGAGTCAGATAGTAAACATTATAGGCTGTGTGGGCCATATGGTCTCAGTTGCAACTGCTCAACTTTGCTGTTAACAGTATAAAAGCAACCACAGACATTATAAATGAATGAGCATGGCTGTGTTCTAATAAAGCTGTTTTTTATAGACACTGAAATTTGAATTTTATGTAATTGATTTGCACATACCATGAAATATTCTTTTGATTTTTTTTTTCAGCTTAAAAAATAAAAGGCATTTTTAGCTTGGGGACTGTATGAAAACCAGCAGCAGGCCAGATTGGCCACAGGGCATAGTTTGCTAAACTCCTACACTCGAGTGTTCGGGGACGAGTAGGCACTGTGTCAGCAACTTCTTCTCAAGTAATTTAGGGGAAAAAAAATATTTGTGCTACTTTTGCAACTTTCTGGTATTAAATTATTTTCTTTCTTTTTTTTTTTAATGTTTATTTCTGAGAGAGAGAGTGTGAGCAGGAGAGGGTCAGAGAGAGAGGGAGATACAGAATCTGAAACAGGCTCCAGGCTCTGAGCTGGCAGTCAGCATAGAGCCTGATGCAGGGCTCGAACCCACAAACCATGAGATCATGACCTGAGCCGAAGTCGGACGCTTAACTGACTGAGCCACCCAGGCGCCCCTGGTATTAAATTATTTTCAAGTTGAAATCTTTTTAGTATTACAAGAGTAGGAGAAGAGAATGAAAACAGGGAGAGCAAATGGAAGAGCGAGGAGGGGAAGTCCAGGGCTTTGGGAGGACCAGTCAGTGGGCTGGTGTAACTAGAGAGGAAATGTTGGAAGGGATATGGTCAACCGTAGGGTTAGAAATAAGGGGTCGTTTTGGGGAGGCCTTGGCTACCTTGCCAGACTCTAACTCCTCTTTTCCTTGAATTTTAGCATCATGGATACTGACTTATATGACGAGTTTGGGAATTATATTGGACCAGAGCTTGATTCTGATGAAGATGATGATGAATTGGGCAGAGAGACCAAAGATCTTGATGAGGTAAAACAAATTTATTGCTATTTTCATGTTTCTCTTAAAAGAAAAAAAATACTGGATCCTCTGTGATCCCATAATATCCTGTGTACATCTCTCACATTGCTCCTTTTTTAAAAAAGTAATTATTTTATGTTTATATATTCTAAGAGAGACAGAGTGTGAGCCGGCAGGCTCCGCAGAGCCCAGTGCGGGGCTCAAACCCATGATACTGTGAGATCATGACCTGAGCTGAGATCAAGAGTCAGATGTTTAACCACCTGAGCCACCCAGGCACCCTCACATTGCTTGTTTTCAAAATATGACTTATCAGGGCCGAATGCTGCCCCTAAGAAAGCTTAACTACTGAGGTTCCAAAAAGGAATATAAGGTAGTTTATTGGTGGGGTGGTTTCGTAATCTGAGCTCTAGTTCATCTGGTAGTAGCTCTTCTTCGATTTATCTGAAGTTCTTTTTGAAGTTCATTACCTGAGTAATACCAACTTAGTATTGTATTATTAGGAATACTTAGTATTGTATTATTGACCCTTAGTATTAGTATTATTAGGTAGTAGTCAGTTTTTCCAAGTGCAGCTGCACGGGGAACTTCCTCATGAGCTTAAGTTTTGAAAGATTAGTAAAAGCAATAGAAAGGGGAAAGTACAGATTCCTGTGACTCCCTTCAGAGAGGATAGTATGGAGGATAAAGTCCAGAATGGTCTGAGGCTTGCAAAAGACATCAGAGGTGGCTTTTAGGTTTTGGCAATGTTCAGGACAAGATGAACAGGAAGTGGATAGGACCACCGCTTATCAGTGGAGATGTGATGGTACTAAAACACTGGAAGAAGAAAATTGAAGGCGTCTAAATGAGGTGAAAGGAGAGCATCTTGCAGCCTTAGCTCTGTTCAAGTCTCCAGGCCCAGATGCATTATTTCTGGGGTTGGGGTGGTAGAGGAGACCTGGCAGAGGTAAGCCAAGAGCTTTTGTTGTCCTCTTTAAAGAACTGAGGAATGGCTGAGGTGCTAGAAAGTGAATCAGGCAACTTTTCTACTTTTCAAAGATGCAAGTAAGGCACTGCATTTCAGAAACTACCAGTTAGTAAGTGTGATGTGTATCCGTGGTAAAAATGATGGAATTTTAAAACAAACAATTGTTGAACTTTTAGGAAGCTCCTATGAGTTTTATAAAAATGATTTTCTTGATACGATTACTAACTTGAGATATGGATCAGGGGTATGCTGTGGGTATTATGTATCTTGATTTGGACAAGGCATTTTTAAGTTTTTTATTTTTTTTATAAGCCAAGGTTTTTTTTTTTCTTTCTTTTTTAAGTGTTTATTTTGAGAGAGAGAGAGAGAGAAAGAATTCCAAGCAGGTTCCACCCTTAGCACAGAGCCTGACACGGGGCTCAATCCCATGACCTTGGGACCATGACCTGAGCTGAAATCAAGAGCCAGATGCTCAATCGAGTCACCCAGGGGCTCCATCCAAGTTTTTGTTTTTAAAAATATTTTAAAGAGATAGTTTTCATTTTATAAGCAATTTGTGAATATATTCTCATTCAGATCAAATAGATAGGAAGTCTTCTTAGTCCTTATTTTATTTCACTCTTTATAAGGCAGTCATTGTAACTCATGATGGCCTTGTGCAAAGAATATGGGCTGGGTTATATATAATACAGTTAGGAGAGGTGACAGCTGATGAAACAGTGGGACCCAAAGACTGTCGATTAATGGATCACCACCAGAGGTGACATGCCCCAGGCATCCACGCTTGGTCTCATCCTTTTCAACCTATTTATCAATGACTTAGTTAAAAATAGACGAGGGAGGTTTATAAAATTCACATATGACTTAGGCTAACACACTGGATAGCAGACTCTTAATTCAAAGTGATCTCAACAAACTTGAATACTGAGCTAAATAAACACAGGAATTCATTCACTAAGTATTTATAATCACTGACTATATGCGGGAGATCAGGATACAGGGAGAGCCAAGGCACTGTCTCTGCCCTCCAGGAACCTACTGTCCACCAGGAGAGATGAAGTACGAAAATATGTATAGCATGGAGCAGGGAGGGATGAGTGCCATTTAAATAATTTTATCTTAGTACCTTAGTAATAGTTTATAAGGAGGGATCAATTTCTGGCCGGGATGACCAAGAAAGGTATCTGAGGAAGTGACGTTCAAAGTGGAGCCAAAGACCACCAGGTAGGCATCTGTAGGGATAGAAAATGGAGTGATTAGTGGTTGCCTTCAGTCGGGGCCGTGGAATCGGGGAGTGATGACCAAAGGGTACAGGATTTCTTTCGGGGGTAACAAAAAACTAACATCCTTTGTGGGGTGGTGGTTGCACAGCTCTGAATATATTAAAAACCACCAATGTGCATTTAAAATGGGTGAATTGTGTGGAATGTGAATTCTATTTCACTAACTCTGCTAACAAAGAAGTACTTTAAAGAAAAGACGGGATCGCTTCGGCGAAGTGTGAACGTTCTCCCCTCAGTCGCTAGTGTTGAGTTCCTCCTACTCTGGTTCATGCTTTTTGGTCCTGTCGCTTGTGCAGGGCTCTCCTCTTGTTTAATTAACTTATTCCTTTTTATCTCTTTCTCGTACCTGTTACCATAGTAATCATTCTAGAACGTGCACGTGGCTTTCTGTTTGTATGATTATAAAATGTGAGTGGTTGCATTGTTAACGTAGGTACCGCCAGTGGCATCGGGTAACCTGTGTCATCATGCTTTTCACTTCTGCCACCCGGCACTGTGGTGAGTGATGTGCTTTTGGATCCATCCTCTGGTGCCGTGTGTCCATCGGGTCTGGTTGCTGCTCAGTAATCCTTGGTGGGAGTTGCTTCCCTCACCACAAATAAAGCTGCGGGGTATCCTCAGATATGTCCCTGTCTGTACCACGTGAACATGCCTTCGGGTTATATTCCCCAAAGCAGAGTTGCGGGTCTCAGGATCAGGTACACTTAGTTCAGGGGTTTTCACAAAGTACGGTCAGATCGCTCCTCAGCCTGCCTGCCCTAGTCCATCCTCCTTCCAACCTTCTGGTCCACACGGGATGCACAGATTCTTTTTTTTTTTTTTTTTTTTTCCGGGATGCACAGATTCTTAAAAAAAGTTTTTGTTTTGATGTAACAGTAATGACATGTGTAAGATTTTGATAATGGAGGCAGGAAAGAAGGAAGAACATTCTAGGCAAGAGTGCAATGAGCAGGGGCCCAGAGGTTGCATGTTAGGAGGAAATGATTTCTCTCCCAGTTGCCACAGCACAGTCCTTGGAGGACGGCCGCAGGCGTGAAGCACAGAGGAGGAGGGACCAGACTCTGGAAGGCCTTGAGTGGAGAACTGGGAGAAAGGGGTGATATGATCAAAGCATGATGCTGGGACCCTTCCTTTAGTGAAGGGAGGGTCAGGATTAGCCAGGAGCTCATCACAGTGGAAGGGTGCACAGGTGTGAAGTTGGAGGGGGCGGAGAAATTGGGGGCAGTGAGATGACGGGCAGAACACTGAGAAATAAGAAAAAGGCGCTTGTATAGTTTTATTTTAGACTTGTCAAGTTTGAGCTTCCAACAGGACACCCAGCTAGAATTAATTACAGGTAGTTGGAAATTATTACATAAAATCCTACAATTAGATTCAAAAAGCAGTCAGCAGTATGGGGCTGGAGGGAACTGGCTTAATAGCTGTTTTAGAGCCACCACCAGTAGGGTATGTACAGCTACCCAGAGAGCTAATGTAACATCAGGCCACGTTAATAGAAGCAGAGCGTAAAGGTGGGAGGAGGTAGCCAGTCAGTGCACCACGGGAGGGTTTCTTGTTCTTTTTAAGAAAGAAGTTGAGGGGCGCCTCGGTGGCTCAGTCGATTGAGTGTCCGACTTCAGCGCATGTCATGATCTCACAGTTCGCGGGTTCAAGCCCCACGTTGGGCTCTGTGCTGACAGCTTGCTCAGAGCCTGGAGCCCACTTCGGATTCTGTGTCTCCTTCTCTCTCTGCCCCTCCCCTGTTCTCACTCTGTCTCTCTCTGTCTCTCAGTAATAAATGTAAAAAAAAAAAAAAAAAAAAAGTTGACATGCTGGAATTTGTGTGAAGGAAAATAGGCTCCCACCAGTGCATCCACTCACCTCCCTACCTCTGTGCCATATGCCTTCCCTCCTGTTCTGATGGATGATCTGTTTGTGTTTTCATCTACTGGAAACTCGGTCCCATCCCTTCTCACCTACCTGTGAGTTCTTCCCATCCTGTGCCAGTTCTCCGTCCCGTATTTTTCCTCTGCTAGATTGTTCCCATCAGCATACAGACATGCTGATAATTCAGCTTAAAGTCCTCTTGTAACTGATCATACTCCCCTTCCCGTCACCCCGCTTCCCACTGCAGCATATCTCAGAGCAGTTACTGATACTTGTCTCCAAATCCTCTCCTTCCTTCTTCTATCAGACCCATTTCTGTCCTCTGCTTCTTCCATTCCACAGAGCCTGCTCTTGTCAAAGTCACTAGGGGCCTCTGCCCCAGACCCAGTCCTCGTCTCACTAGACCTGTCTGCAGCATTTGACCCGGCTGATCACTCCCTCCTCAAAATCCCCTCTTCCGTTGGCTTCCCTGGAACTTCTGGTTTTTCTTCTTGCTGGCAACCATCATCACAAACAATTATTTTAAATCGTTTATTAAGTTTTATTTTAGAAAGCACACGCACAAGCTGGGGAGAGGCAGAGGGTGGGGAGGGAGAGAGAGAACCCTAAGCAGGCTCCACACTCAGTACAGAGCCTGACACGGGGCTCAGTCCCTCTGGGATCATGACCTGAGCCAAAATCGAGCCAGATGTTCAATCGACGAAGCCGCCCAGGCGCCCCGTTTTAAATTATTTATCTATCTGTCACAGACAATTGTAAAATACTTTCATCATCCCAGAAAGAAACCCCGTGCCCCTTAACCATTGCCCTGCAATTCTCCCAGCCCTAGGCAACCACCAGTCTACCTTCTGTCTCTACAGATTTGCTGATTCTGGGCATTTCATATAAACAGAATCCTATAATATGTGGCCTTTGTGTCTGGCTTCTTTAACTTAGCATGTTTTCAGGGTTTGTCTTTGTTGTAGCAGGTGTAAATATTTCATTTTTTCGTTGTCAAATATTCCATTGTATAAATATACCACATTTTATTCATCCAGTCATCAGTTGATTGACATTTGGATTGTTTCCACATTTTGACCATTATATGTAATGCTACTATGAACGTGTGTTTATAACTTTTTGTGTAACATAGATTTTCGATTATTTTGGGGATGTATCTATTAACAGAATTGCTGGGCCGTATGATAATGGTTAAATGTGGTTAACATTTTGAGGAACTACCACACTGTTTTCCAAAGTGGCCGCACCACTTCACATTCCCATCAGCAGGGTCTGAGGGTTCCAGTGCCTCCATACCCTCACCAACATCTGTTACAAAGGTATTTTTCAATACCAGCTCTGTGAATATAAGTGAAAAATTTTAAGGTATGGACTTGTTTCCCGCTTCTACCTCTTATTTCTGACTTCTGCCCTTGAAGGAAGTGATTTTTTTTCCCTTAAAAGGATGTGTTATGATAAGTGATTTGTTTTTTCCAGTCTCCATGCATTTGTGACCCACAGGTAGGCAGGGACTAGCTTGAAGCAGAAGAGCCATCCGTAGCTGTGGCTCACGGACTTGTCTTTGGGAAGGATCCCGTGAGAGTAGAGCCTGCCCCAAAGACTCTCTGCACTGAACTCAAAATAAGAAGCTGTCAAGCCTATGAAGTCATTGCTCTTGACTCACCATGATGGAGACAGTCACCGAGAAGGAAAGGTATGTGCCTCTCACGACCTCTTCCCCTCTCTTGCTCTTAGATGGATGATGACGATGACGACGACGATGTTGGGGATCACGATGAGGACCACCCTGGGATGGAGGTGGTGCTGCACGAGGACAAGAAGTACTACCCCACAGCTGAGGAGGTGTACGGGCCTGAGGTGGAGACCATCGTGCAGGAGGAAGACACCCAGCCCCTCACCGGTGAGTAAGCAGGCACCGGGGGATGGGGGGTGAAATCGGGAGATCCGTTCGTAGCTGGTGGCTATGTGAAAAGTTCGGTGAGTGGATTCATTCGTTTTTCTTTACTACGTTCAGGTATTGCTTCCAGATTGAGATTTGTCTAACTCTTTTAATATGCAGTACAACTTGTAGTTGTTACTAAGCAAATAAGAATCACTTCTTTATTTACTGAATTTTGGTTTAGGTGCACAGACTCTATTTTAAGTTCTTTGTCTGGTGTGAGCTGTTTTTCCATCCAAAGAATCCCAACTCCTTTAACCAGTCCTCACAGTGCTGGCCTTCCACTTCTTTAATCATTTTCATTGATCTTCTGGGAAGTGATTGGATTTCATAAATGCAAGGAGAGATTTTGAACTGACATTGACCTCAGCCTATATCTAGTCCTTTTCCTTCCTTCCACAAAATGAAGTCCAAACCCCTCCTCAGTCCACAGTTCGAGAGCCTTCACCGTCTTGTGCCATACTGCATTCCCAAACTTGTCAACGTATGAACAATCCTTGAGAATAACATAAATTGATGTCACGTATACTGCATTCTGAAAGCTCGGTCTACTTAAATGGGGCTCTGTATTTTTATGTTTTATGCCACCCTGAATGTCACAACTTTTGTTTCCCCTCTCTAGAACCTATAATTAAGCCAGTGAAAACCAAGAAATTCACTCTGATGGAGCAGACATTGCCTGTCACGGTGTATGAAATGGAGTAAGTTACAAAGTTTCTCGGCCTTTCTGCACGAATAGCGTGGGTTCATTTTTCTGTGGAGGTAGGAGGTAAGTCTGTGGTTGAAGTAGCCAGTGAATCATAAAAGCAAAACTTCTGCTCTACAATTTGCCAGAATTTTCCTTGAGCCTACACGGCTGCTGGACCATGTAGAGTACACGTTAACTTTTCTCCTGGCTCTCATTCAGACCTCAGCCTTTTCTCTTCCAACCCCTTAGTTTGGTATTAGAAGCCACCCTTGGAGACAGAACTGGGTATCATAATGGTCAGTGTTGGGACTACCAGAGCCTATTGTGACTTGGTAAGATTGCTCAGTGTTTGGGGAATAAAACAACTCTATATTTGGAAAAGGAGGGCACAGGTAGGTGGATACGTGTGTAGAGTACTTTAGCCTCTTCATACAGCAGATTTTCTGAAAATATTTTCATTGATGAAATGCATTTGTAAGGTCATCATTATATTGTAGTGCTTGTGACTCATTATTAGATAATGAAACTTAAAAAAGAAAAATGTTGGCAACTAGTGGCAACATCCAAAAGAGTAGGGTCCCTTCTGGAATGGTCAGCTCACCTATCATCATTCAGCCATTTTGCACTTGATCTTAGCCAAAAGGCCGAGAAGCGATCATTCAGCCATTTTGGAAACAACTTTCAATTGTCTTCCAAACTCGCTTCATGTTCTCTTGTGTTCTCACTGGTGATTTTTAAAAATCTCCCACCTTTGTTTCTTAAACTGTTTATTTTATTTTATTATTTTAATTTATGTTATTTTGTTTATGTTATCTTAAAGAGAGCGTGAGC